GAACGACGACGGACGACGACGACGACGATGGCGACGACGACGACGACGACGACGGCGACGACGAAGTCGACAAACGACGACGACGACGACGACGACGACGACGAACGACGACGATCGACGGCGACGACGACGACGGGCAACGACGGCGACGACGACCATGGCGACGACGACGACGACGACGACGATGTTGACGACGACAGACGACGACGACGCCAACGACGACGACGACGGCGACGATGATGACGATGAAGACGAACAACGACGGGTGACGGTGACCACGACGACGGTCGACGATGGATCACGATTGCGAGGATGGCGCAGATGACGGCGGCAGCGGCAACGACGGTGACGACGACGACGACGATGACGACGATTGTAACGACGACCACGACGACGCCGATGACGATGACGACGACTGCAACGATGACCACGACGACGGCGACCACTGCGACGCACGACGGACGACGGTGACGACGACGGATGGCGACGACGACGACGACGACGACCACGCCGCAGATGACGACGACGACGAGGACGACGACGATGGCGACGACAACGGTGGCGACGACGACGACGGGCGACAACGACGAACACGACTGACGACGACGACGACGACGACGATGATGGCGGACGACTGACGACGACGACGACGATGAAGTCGACTACGACGACGACGGTGACCACGACGACGACCGACGGCGGACGACGGTGAGGACGACGATCGACGACGGACGACGACAACGACGACAACGACGAGGATGACGCCGACGGCGACGACGACGACGACGACGGTCGACGACAGACGACGACGACCACGACGACGACGGCGACGACGACGACGACGACGGCGACGACGACGATGAAAACGACGGATTGCGACGACGACGGACGACGGTGACGACAACGACGGTCGACGGAGGACAATGATGACGACGACGACGGACGACGAAAGACGACATTCACGACGACGACGGTCGACGACGGACGAAGACAACGAACGATTGCGGCGGCGAAAGACGACGATGACGACGAAAACGATGACGACAACGACGGACGACGAAAGACGACGTTCACGACGACGACGGTCGACGACGGACGACGGCGACGACGACGACAACCGAAGACGTCGGACGATGGCGACGACGACGGCGGCCACGACGACGACGGACGCCGACGAAGACGACGACGATGACGACGACGACGGCGACGTCGACGTCGGACAACGACGACGACGACGACGACGACGACGACGACGACGGCGACGACGACTACGGTCGACGGTCGACGATGGATTGCGGTGGCGACGACGACGACGACAACGATGGACGACGGTGACGATGACGATGACGACAATGACGACGACGACGACGACGACGACGACGACGACGACGACGACGACGGCGACGGGCGACAATGGCGCAAGAGGACGGACGACGGTGACGACGACGACGGTCGACGATGTTCGAAGGTGACGACGACGACGGTCGACGACGGACGACGACAGCGACGGCGACAGCGGCGACGACGAACGACGACGACGACGACGACGACGACGAAGATGACGACGCCGACGACGACGACGACGAGGACGGACGACGACGACGACGACGACGACGCCGACGACGATGACGACGATGACGGCGGCGACGACGACGACACCCATGAAGACGACGACAACAATCACGACGACGACGAACGACGACGACGACGGACGACGACAACGACGACGCCGACGTTGACGACGACGACGTCGACACGACGAGGAACGATGACGACGAAGACGAAGGTCGACGACGGACGACGACGACGACGGCGACGACGACGACGACGGCGGCGACGACGACGACGGTCGACGACGGACGACTCGAGGACGACGACGGACGACGACGACGACGTCGGACAACAACGGACCTCGACGACGACGACGACGATGATGACGACGGTGACGACGACGATGGTCGACGACAGACGACGGATGACGGATGACGGATGACGACGACGACGACGACGACGACGACGACGTCGGACGCGACGGACGACGACGACGACGTCCGATGACCGACGATGGACGACGACGACGACGACATTGATCGACGACGATGACGACGACGACCGCCGACGACGGACGACGACGACAACGACGACGTCGACGATATCGAAGCCGATGACGGCATCGGACGACGACGACGACAATTGACGATGGACGACGACGACGGTCGACGACGATGACGACGACATTGATGGACGACGACGACGACGACGACGACGACGACGACAACGTCGACGACGATAAACGATGACGCTCGACGGTGACGACGACGACGACCATGACGACGACGACGACGACGACGACGGTCGACGGCGACGGCGACGACGGTGGCGACGACGGCGATGACGACGAACGACGACGATGACGACGACGACGACGACCACGACGAACGACGACGACGACGACGACGACGACGACGACAGACGACGGTGACGACGACGATGGTCGACGACACACGACGACGACGACGACGATGGACGACGACGACGACGACGACGACGACGCCGATGACGACGACGACGACGACGACGACGACGACGACGACGACGGCGACGATGACGACGACGACGGCGACGATGACGACGACGACGGCGACGACGGCTGCGACACCGACGGACCACGACGATGACGACGGACGCGACGACGACAACGACGACTTCCGACGACCGACGATGGACAACGCCGACGATGACAATGATCGACGACGACGGCGACGACGACCGTCGACGACGGACGACGACGACGACGACGACGTCGACGATGTCGACGCCGACGACGGCATGGGACGACGACGACGACAACTGAGGATGGACGACGACGACGACGGTCGACGACGACGACGACGACGGCGGCGACGATGACAACGACGACGACGACGACGACGATGACGACGACGACGACGACGGCGGCCGCGACACCGACCACAACGGCGACGACGACGACGACGACGACGGACGCGACAACGACGATGACGACGACGACGACGACGGACGGCACGACGACGACGACGACGACGACGACGACGACGACGACGACGGCGACGACGACGACGACGACGACGGCGACGATGGACGACGACGACGACGACGACGACGACGACGACGACGACGACGACGACGACGACGACGACGACGACGACGGCGGCGGCGGCGGCGACGACGACGACGACGACGACGACGACGACTACGACTACGACGACGACGACGACGACGACGACGACGACGACGACGACGACGACGACGACGACGACGATGGTGGCCGCGGCGGCGGCGGTCGACGGCAGTGGCGACGTTTACGGCGACGACCAGCGGCGGCTGCCCCCCGAGGACGGACGCGCGCCTCCCGACCGCTTGGCAGCCGTGGCTCGCGGGGCGCTCGGCACTGCTGACCACTTGCCGCCCGGGGGGGGTTGGCCTCTGGTCGTCGTCGGCGTCGTCGGCGTCGGTCGGCGGTCGCTTGAACTCTCGATGGTCTTGGCATCGCTCGGACGTGTGTATTTCTCCTTCGGCGAGGACCATCGAGGAGCATCCTTGATCATTTGGCGAAAAAACCACGCACGAAACCGACAAATCTCAGGGAATGGACGTCAGAGCGATGGCCAGTGGTCCGATCGTGAGCGCCGTGGAACCGTTCGGTCTGCGTTCGGGCGTCTCGCTCGAGCGCTGAGCGTGTGGTGCCTCGGCGTGGCCTGGCGTCGCCGCCGCGAGGCTCTGGCCAGAGCACGCTGCAGATTGGGGTCTGGTGCTCCAGGTTTCGGTCAGCACTGTTGCTCGTCGTCGGCGTCATCGTCGGCTTCGTCGTCGTCCTGGCGTTCCTCCCGAAGAGGAGGGAGGGAGGGAGGGGAGAGCGGCCTTCTGTTGGAGAGGGGGGAGGAGGAAGAGGAGGAGGAGGAGGAGGAGGGGCAGAAGGTCATAGGACGCAACGAGCACCGAATGTCATGTCCGATCAGCGTCAAAGAGGAGCAGGAGGAGGAGGAGGTGGAGGTGAACGGGGGAGGAGGCGGGGGAGAAGGAGAGGCGCGGGAGGGCCCCCAGATGAAACGGCACCAGCTTGATCACTCGCGGCCAGACGCACTGGCCAGGTCAAACCTCGGAAGCGCTCCATGAGCCTCAATCCTCTCATCGATCCTCCACCCCGATGCTCGATGCCCCATCCTCCCCGCCCCCCCTCCTCGGACACCCTCCCTCGATCCCTCTACTCGAGGCACCCTCCCTCGATCCCCTCTCCGACCCCTGCTCGAGAAGAGTGGCGCCGCAACCGATACCGAAACACAGGCAGGGATAAGAGGACAGGAATGGGTGGCCTTTGATGGCATATTTTCGAGCGCTCACGTTGCGAGACCGTAGTGGTTCTGGGAAACGACAGGGCCGTTTTCCCCATTTTCGTTTTGTCGTTTTTTCCTGGTTACAGTGCCGTTGTTCTTCTGGTTTTGTCATATTTGTCTTCCTGTTTCCAGCTTTGGCTTGAATCCCGGAGCCATTTTTCTCCGTTTCGGAGAACCGCTGTTTCGCCCTTGACGCTTCCAAGGATCACTAAGTGCGAGGCCGCGTCGACGTCGGAGTGCCGCAGTTGCGGGCTTTCCGCGGCCGAGGCTCGATCCCATTCCTCGGTCCCCGCGGGAGAGGAAGAAGAGGAGGAAGAGGAGGAGGAGGAGGAGGAGCAAGAGGAGGAGGAGGAGGAGGAGGAGGAGGAGGAGGAGGAGGAGGAGGAGGAGGGAGGAGGAGGAGGAGGAGGGAGAAGGAGGAGAAGGAGGAGGAGGAGGAGGAAGAGGAGGAAGAGGAGGAGGAGGAGGAGGAGGAGGAGGAGGAGGAGGGCGCGGCGGGGGGCCCGAGGCCAGGCGCGACGCCCCAGGGACCGCGAGGCGCGCCGCCGCCCGGGTCGCGCCCAACTTCCAGCACTGGGGCCGGCCCGACGAGCCGCGCGGCGCCGCCGGCGGCGCCAACAGCCCCAGGCGGCGCGGTCGCCGCGGCCGCGGCAGTCGACGGCAGCAGTCGAGAAGACAGGCCCATCAGTCGACGGCGGCGGGTTTTCGGGCATCGTCGTCGGTCCTCGTCGGCCTTCCAGCCTCGGGGTGCTTCCCAGCGACTGCGCCTCGCCGGGAGCGCCCCAGTGGCGCCCGGAGTATCCCGAACGGCTGCTGGAGAGCCGAGCCGAGGCCCGAAGACCAGCCGCGGCAGTCGGCGACGGCGGCGACTTGGCTTGGCGGCGCGCATGGGACGGGGGGGGCGGCGAGGGGAGGCGGCCCTTGCTGAGAGAGCTGCGAGAGGCCCGAGGGAGAGCAGGGGTCAGGAGCGAAAGAAAAACGTACACGTACATGAATCCACGCTGGTTTTGGGCGTACGCATTGCGCGACCGTTCGTATCACGAGGCTGGTGTCGCGGACTGGGGGGCCGTGTTCATGTACGTGGGGGTTGGGCGCGAACGTACGTCCGTTGTGGGCTTCCGCATCGGGGGCTTCTTCATCGGCATCCCCGGCTCCTGGGAAGCCTTCCTGGGAGCCCCCGGGGCATTCCCGAGAGGGCCCCTGCCTTCTGAGGAGCCTCACGCCTTCTCAGAAGGCCGCACCCCTCTGCCACCCCCCCCCCCCACACCCACCCTCCACCATCTGCGCGCCGCCATGTCGGCGTCGGTGCCGTCGTTCTCACTATCGTCATCCGCATGCTCATCATCGCCACCATGAATACATCCATGGGGTGTCTGCCACCCTTGCCATCAGCGCCACCAGAATCATCACAAACTGCGGCATGCTCAGCATCGTTATGCTAATCATGGCGTCCATGATGGGACCCATTATTTTCTCACCATCCTCCTCATCCCACTCATGAATATGTATCCCATTTCTCCTACTTCTCCTCATCCTCCTGCCCCTCCTCCTCCCCGTATCATCTTTTTCCTTTTCTGCCTCCACCGATGGCTCTTGCGTGCATATGTATATGTATCCCTCTATGTCTATATGTTTCTCTCTCTCTCTTTCTCTCTCTCTCGCTCTCTCTTCTATATATATGTGTAGATTCACTCCTCTCTCTTTCTTTCTCTCTCTCTCTCTCTCACTCTCTCTCTCTCTCTCCATCTGTCTCCCGTCTGTCTCTCTCTCTCTCTTCATCTGTCTCGTTGGGGGGGAGGTGGAGGAGGAGCTTCCATACAGTAGCTCACGACTCCAACACGGCCCAAGGCTGGACAGAACGCCAGCGGCGTCGGAGCTCACACCACGTCTCATCGATCCACTTCGGGCAGGATGAGGGACTCTCGCTGCGGCGCACGAAAGGGGGCACGGAGGGTGGGGGAGGAAGGGAAAGGAGGGAAAGGAGGGCGAACTGCATGCAAGGGCGGCCAGGCAGAGGGAGGGGGGGGGGCAGGAGAGCCGGGGCGATGGGGGGCGGACGGTGGACACCCACAGACGAGGCGCGGTAGTCGTGGCAGTGGTCGTCGTGGCGGTGGTCGTGGTCGTCGTGGTGGTAGTGGTGGTCGTGGCGGTCGTGGTCGCACCCAGACCCCCTCGCGCTGTGAAAAAATCACGACGGGAGGTGTTTCGCTATTTCCGGCCTCCTGGGGCCCGGGGCCGTCCAAAAACGACTCAGGATGAAGAGCTGGTCCCAGGGAAGGGGTCCAGACCGTCGGGGCTTGACGGCGTGAAAGAACACGACGTCGGGGTCTGGGTGGCCGTGGTCGTGGTGGTAGGCGTAGATGTGGGAGTGGGCCGGGGCGAACTGCCGCGTTGCCCTTTGGAAGGCAGGGACATTTGCAGGCGTGCCGCCCCAGCGGGTCGGAGCTCCTCCAGCGCGGGCCCTGAAGGAAGAGGGCCGCCGAGCTGCCCCTTTGGGAACACGCTACCGGAGCCCGCTCCCGACACCCCGCCCAACGGCGGCTTCAAGAACGTCCGCGTGGCCCCTCAGGCTGCGCCGAGAAGAATCCGGGCGCTGTCCAAGGCCAAGCAGCGCTGCATCTTCCGCTAAGCAGTGGAGAGCACAGCCGACCATTCGGCCTCCAGCAAATCCCAGCCCTGGGAGCGCACGAAGGCGACCAGCTCGTCAGCGGGCCAGCCCTCCGACTCCAAGACGGTCGGGAGTAACTAGTTCCCCTCCGGGCGGAAGGCAGTCCGGCCGTTTTTTGCTGACCTCTTGGGCAGTCGCCACACCATCCGCGCGAAGCGTGGCCTGCCTGCGGGCGTTCTTGGCGCAGTGTTCGCAGGTAACAGACCAGTCCCCGTAGATGAGGGCATTACTGGCTTCCTCCCACACGCCCACGTCGGGGCGCTGGCGGTCCCAGGCGGGGACGCGCTGCTCAGCGGTGGCCCAGCGGCCTCTTGGCGCAGTGCCACGGCGCACTCCAATCCCGCAGGGAATTGTGCCGGTCATTCCTGCTGCCCCCGCACCCGCGCTTCCTGGCTTGCTGGCCCTTGGCGCCCAGCGGTCCCGCGCCGTGGCGAGCCGTCCGGCCGTCCTGCCTGCGGCGCCGGCAGCGCGCGCCCCGAGCGCCCGACACGCACGCGCAGGCCTGCCAGAGAGCGGTCGCGTGGGCGGGCTCGTCGCCCTCCTCGCGCGGGAGGAGCCAGGCCCCCGCTCACGAGCCTCCCCCTCCGCGTGGCGCGAGAGGGCCGTCCTCGCCCAGGGTCCAGAGGCGCCGCGGCCTCTCGGCAGCAGGCACAGTACTCGCCCGGGTGCCCCTGCAGCTCGGCCATCGGCTCGGCCAAGAGAGCTGCCCAGTCCAACGGCTGCACTCGCCCCTCGCTGGTCGAACTCCGTTTCGGCGCGGCGCCAGGTCCCCGCCGCCTGGGGGTAGCGGACCCAGACGGCCTCCGCCGACTCGGATCCGCCGCGCTCGGGAAGCAAAAAGCCCAATTCCCGCGGGTAGGCGAGAGCGGTTGTTGTGTTTGTCTTGTTGATGTGCTATGTTGTTCCTCTATGTCTTTGTTACGTATCTCTCTCTCTCTCTTTCTCTCTCGTCTCTCTCTCTCTCTCTCTCACTGTCTGTCTCTCTCTTTTTGTTTCTCTCTCTCTCTCTCCAAATCTATGTAAACATACATATATACTTGTGTATACCCATCCTGTCTGCATCATGATTCGCCGCTCTGTTTTTACATGTATACATACATATACAAGTGTATGTACATGCGTGTGCACATACGAATGTATGTATATGAGTGTATGGATGTATGGATTTATATATGTATGTACGTAAGCTGGTTATACATATATATGTGCCTGTGTTTGTGTGTGTCGCTCTCTCGTTCTCTCTCTCTCTCTCTCTCTCTTTCTGCCGCTTCCTCTCATTTTCTTCATATTGCTACGCATGCGTATGTGTATACAGATATGTACATACAGCCACCTGCGGCAAGTTCCGGTGCCAGTCCTTCTGTCTAGCTGGTGTGTGACATCTTGTATCTCTGGTCCTAAGAGAGCCGTAACACGTGGCGCGTTTCTCGTAGGGTTGTTTGGGTGAGTTCTGGGAGCAAGACGTCTGACGCTGTCAAGTGTGCAAAAAGGCTGCCTGGTGGTTTCGGTGCGTGTTCGAAGCCTTTGAGCCTGGCAGGGGCGATGGAAATGATGATGATGATGATGATGATGATGATGATGATGATGATGATGATGATTATTATGATGATGGTGAAGATGATGATAACGATAGTGACGGTGATGGTGGCGATGATGGTGATGCTGATGACGATGATGACGACTATGATGACGATGATAATGATGGTAGTGATGATGATGATGGTGGTGATGATGGTCATGATCATGACCATGGTCCTGAATATGATCATGATGATGCGGATGCTGATGATGAGAGAGAGCGTGATCCACCGCCGCTTTACTGTGGAAAATTGCCAACCTTTTCCTCCGGAACCCGGGGGTCTCCCCCCCCCCCCCTCCGAAAATCCCCCCCCCCTGCTGGAACCCCTCCCCCCCCCCCCCCCCCCCCCCCCCCCCCCCCCCCCCCCCCCCCCCCCCCCCCCCCCCCCCCCCCCCCCCCCCCCCCCCCCCCCCCCCCCCCCCCCCCCCCCCCCCCCACCCCCCCCCCCCCCCCCCCTCCTCCCCCCCTCCCTCCCGGCAAACCCCCCCCCCCCCCTCTAACCCCTCCCCCCCCCCCCCTCCCCCCCCCCCCCCCCCCCCCCCCCCCCCCCCCTCCCCCTCGAAAAACCGGGCCGGGTGGGGTCACTACGGTTCGAACCCTCACCCCCCACCCCCCCCCCCCCCCCCCCCCCCCCCCCCTCCGGATCCGGAAAAAAACCGGGTTGGGTCAACTAGGGTGTTGGAACCCCCCCCCCCCCCCCCCCCTCGAAAACCGGAGGGGGGTCACTACCGGTTCGACCCCACGCACCGCCAGCAAACGACTCCCGGTCCCTACCACCGCTCGCATCACATCCCCCACTGTTGTTCCCAGCACCACTGTCCTCACCACCATTGTCCCCACTGGTTCCACCACCGTCCCTATTGTCCCCACCAGTGCCCCCACCACTGTCGCACTGTCCCCACTGTCCCCACCACTGTTCCCACCACTGTTCCACTCTCCCCACTGTCTCCACGGCCCCAACCACTGCCCGACTATCCCCACTGTCCCCACTGTCCCACTGACTCCTCCGCTGTCCCACTGAGCTGTCCCACTGTTCCCACCACGGTCCCCACTGTCCCCACCACTGTCCCCACTGTACCTCTGTCCCATTGTCCCACCGCCGTCCTCGCCACCGCCTTCACCACTGTCCCCACCACCATTGTACCCTCCACTGTCCCACTGTTTCCACCTCATTCCCACTGTCCCCACACCACTGTCCCACCACCACCGTCCCCACCACTGTCCACTGTCCCCCCTGTTCCCACCATTGTCCCCACCACTGTCCCCACCACTACCGGCCCTCTACTGTCCCACTGTCCCACTGTCCCACCACTGTCCCGCTGTCCCCTCACCACTGTCCCACCAACACCGTCCCCACCTCTGTCCGCACCCCCACTCGGT